TCATGATCCAGCTGCACAGAGGGCCAAATAGTTTCAGATGTAGACTGACCATTGAGGGCCCTTCACAGTGCTTTAAACACCAAGTTGGCTAGGCGAGTGAGCCAAGTGTGGGTCTGGGCAACTCTAAAGCCCTTCAGATGTAGTTAATTAACTACATTAACTACAGGTTACAGTTAACTACAGGTTAACTGGTGTGTAGGCTTTGTCTAGAGACTCTTAAGAGTTAGGGAGAAAAGTCATGAATTTAGCCTCAGAAAACCTTGATTGGAGATTTGATTCTGTTCATTACTGGGTGTGTGCATTTTTTAGCAAGTCAGCTCCCCTCTGGGGGCTTCAGTTTTATCTATAAAATAAAGGGGCTGAATTAGATGATCTGGTATCAAGATATTAGGAGACAATTGTTTTCCAGAGCTGGGGCCCAGCAAGCAGGCTGGGTCCTGAGCCTGGCATAACAACAATCCTTTGCGCTCACCCTCTGGATGATCTCAGTCTCTGGTAAAATTATATAATCATTGTATTGCTTTGATCAGCACCAGGTCTCATTGTTGCTGTTACCCCTTCATTGTCTGGGCTACAGCTCATTGCAAGGCCGTTGGTATAAGCATCAAGGTTTAGCCACACTAAAACAGGTCCCCCCGCTAGGGACAGGGCCGTGGCAACACGTGTCCTTGTTTGCAAGTCATTTCTCTCCCTTTGAAATTAAACTTCTGTTTGATTCCTGACTCTCTTGTTTCTAGCCTGCTCTGTTCAGCTCTGGTCATCCACAGGTTAGAGGCTGGTTCCATCCCGTTGACACTGGAAAGTCCATTCACCAACTACAATGACATGATAATGGTCCCTACTCTATGTACCAAGCCCTTATGCACTGGGCAGCCAGGTGGTGAAGTGGATAGAGGGCCAGACCTGGAGTCAAGAAGACTCATCTTCCTGAGTATAAATTTGACCTCAGACAAATACTAGCTGTGTGACCCTGGGCAAGTCACTTAACCCTGTTTGCCTCAGTTTCCTCATCTGTAAGATGAGCTGGAAAAGGAAATGGCACACCACTCCAGTATCTTTGCCACAAAAATTCCAAATGGGTCACAAAGACTTTTTTACCACTGAAAACGATTAAAAACATGTGCCAGACACAGTACTGGGGATACAAAGCACAGGGGATACAAAAAGAAGCAAAGGTAATCCCTACCTTCAAGGAGCTCATGATCTGATAGAGGAGACAACATGCAAAGAAAGGTACACAAAGCAAGCAATAAAGCAAGGGAGGAAATATTTAACAGAGGGAAGGCACTAAAATCAAGAGGGGTTTGAAAAGGCTTCCTGAAAACTCCCTTCTGGGTTTCAGCTGGAGTCCTCAGCTGAAGTGTTTCTTACCTCAGCTCAGAGCTCAGAGAAGGAATGGGCTCCGCCATCTCTTTTCTATCTTAGAGCCTTTTAGCCCATCGTACTCCCTTAGCTCTTCGGAAGGTAGGACCCTGGTATATCCAATCATTGGCTTAGGAAAGACAACTTTCACTTAATCCTTTCCATATGTAATAGCTCTGGGGCTGAAGGACCCTCAGAAGTCACCTAGTCCAGTCCCCTCATTTTCCAGATAAAGAAACCAAGTGCCAGTCGAAGAATTTGAACCCTAGACTGACTGACTCCAGAGACGATACTCTTTCCACTAGACTATGCATAAGAAGAAAGGAAGCAGTCAGTTGCCAGAGCCTCCACTTTCAGAAGACAAGCAGCCCTACAAACCTATAATACACAATTATATGTAATAAATGCAGAATTGATAGTGCCAGGAAAACAATACAAGTCTGAAAGGGCAGGTCGTTATTGATGGGAGGAAGCCTTTGGAGCAGGGGGTGTCCGAATTTAGTTCAACAGGCAAACATTCCAGGCATAAGCTATACCATAAGGAAAAGCCTAAAGGTGGAAAAGTACAGGGCATAGCTAGTTTGGCTATAACATAAGGTTTATAAATATTAGTCATGGTGCAATGACTAAGCATCTATTTATTAAGCCAGGTGCTGGGCTAGGTGCTAGGAATCTCCTTGCCTTCAAAAGAGCTTGTAATTATCATGACAGAAAGAGATCTGAGTTTGAATCCCTGTTCTGCCATTTACTAGCAATTTAATTTTTTTTTTTGAGGCAATCAGGCTTAAGTGACAAGTGTCTGAGGCCAGATTTGAATTCAGGTCCTCCTGACTCCAGGGCTGGTGCTCTATCCACTGTGCCACCAAGATGCCCCTCTAGTGATTTAATTTTAAGCAAGTCATTTAATTTCATTTTCTTCATCTGTAAAAGGAGGGGGTCGTACTAGATTATCTATGAGGTCCCTTGAAACTCTAGGCTTAAGATCAATAGAAGGAAAGCAGCTGAAGTTTTCCTTCCTAATGCAAAGGTCTTTTCTAGTCCTAAATCTACTATCCTAGCTGCATCTCATGGTCCTAGCTTGTGTTCAATTGGACTGAGTTCAAATCTATTTTCTTTGACTTGTTGCCCTCACTCAGAGTTAACTCAAGAAATCTCCAAATATGCTTATATCTAGGTTTCCACAAATGTGAATGACAAAAGTCACCAGTTTCATTACAAGCACTCAAAGTAACAAATGCATATCAGTTAGAAGACTATTTGACTATGCAGAAAATACAAAAGATTCAAAGCATTCATTGGAGTCCCATAAATTGATGCAGAAAATTTAAAGCACTCATAAGAGCCAATAAACTTTTCTCAAAAGAGAACTAAACTTGGAATTGCCAGTGGGGAAAGATTCCAACGGTGAACTTCTCCAACACGTTTTAACACAGGTCCTCTCAGATTGTGTCACTGTTCTGGACTTCCTTCAGGAAGAAAATATATGTGCTTCCCCTTTCCCATCAGACCTGCACTGTTCAAATAATTCATAGTTATAGTGGGTGGCAAGGTCCCAACTTCTTATACTCCCATAAAACAGCTTTAATTGACTTGAAGCTGTTGGGATCGCATGGGCAATCCCTGTGTTTCTCCAAGAGACACACTGCTCAAAGCAGATTTCAGAAAAACCTGGATAAGACTTGTATGGACTGATGCTGAGTGACGTGAGCAAAACCAGGAGAATGTTGTACACAGTAACAACATTGTGCAATGACTAACTTTGATAGACTTAGCTCTTCTCAGCATTGCAAGAATCTAAGACATCTCTAAAAGTCTCATGATGGAAAATGCTATCCAATCCAGAGAAAGAACTATGGCGTTGGAATGTAGATCGATGCATGCTATTTGCTCCTTTTTTTCTTCTGTTTTGCTTTGTTTCCTCTTTCTTGTGGTTCCTCCCATTGGTCCACATTCTTCTCTACAACATGACTAATGTGAAAATGTTTAATTTAATCTAGGCAGAGCCTAGATCAGATTGCTCGACATCTTGGGGAGGGAAGGGGAGAAAATTTAAAACTCAAAAGCTTATGGAAGTGAATGTTGAAAACTAAAAATAAGTTAATTAGTTAAAAAAGAGAGAGATGCATTTCTCAGGAATTCCTCCTTCTCTCTAGAAGGCCAAATCCATTCACTTTCAAACTTGGGCTTACTCTGGAAGCAACTCAAGGCCCAAGAAATCTTTCCTAGTTGGTTCAATTCCAGGATTATGCTGCCTGGAAAAATTTAGATTCCCTTGTTTTCACATGCAACTGGGAAATAAGATATACAGACAATGGGATATAGAAATCTATCCTGCCCTACTGGAAAACTGAAGGGAAAGAGGATAAGAGAAGGGGCAGCAGAGATAGGGAGGGCAGATTAGGGGAAGGAGTATTCAGGATTCATGCAGTCTTGGGGTGGGGGGAGGGATGAAATGGGGAAAAATTTGGAACTCAAAATCTTGTGGAAGTGAATGTTGAAAACTAAATATAAATAAATAAATAAATATAAACGCTAAAAAAAAAGAATAAAGGACAAACAACAACAAAATTTAGATTCCCTTCTCTTCTACAAGACACCTCTATAAGACTATAAACTGCAGAACAGTTGCAAATCTGCATTGTTAGTTTCCTCCCTGGGGAGCTTCCTACATAGATGAAATCGCATTCAATAAGCACTTATTAAGCATCTACTATATGCATGGCACTACAGTAGGAGCTGGGAATACAAAAACAGAAAATAAAAAAAGAAGTGAAACACTGAGGGCAGTTTATGCAGAGGTAAAGAGAGACAAAATATTGAGTTCAACAAGTAGATCAGTATGGATGGAACATGAGTGACCAGAGGGAGCTCACAAGAGATGGCCTCCATTTTTCCAGTGAAATAGGAAGTGAGGTTCTCTGCTAGGAAGGAGGAGGGGAATGAGGGGATTTAGAACACGGATAAATAAACACACCTTTACAAGTCTAAGTGAGAGCCCTATTCTCCAGGAAGTGTTATATATTTGTTTTTGTCTTCCGAGAGCTTAGCACAGAGCCTGCCATACAATAATAATACTAGCTTGCATTTGTTGAGACCTACTATGTGCCAGGCACTGTGTGCTATGTGCTTTGGAGCCCCATAACCACCCTGAGAAGTACATGCTGTTATTCTCTATATTTTACAGAGGAAGAAACTGAGGCAATCACAGGTAAAGTGACTTGCCCAAGGAACGTTCGTCTTACAGATAGACGGGAGACTGAGGGTCTGAGGGGACTGTACCTAATGTTACACAGCCCATGGTCACGGCGGAACAACCTAAACAGCTGAGCTACACCTGGTCCTCCACAAAGCACAATCGCAGTCACTCCCCCTACGTAGGACTCAGTTTTTCCGTCTCTCCAAAAGGAATAGAAGTCTGTGCCCCCACCCCCTAGCCGCAGGCACTTCGCGCAGGCGCACGGCTTATTTTCCCTCCTCCACAGGGACCACTAAAACAATTCCTTCAGCAGTGACGCTGCGCAGGCGCACTATCTAACTTCCCGACGTGCTCCGCGGTACTCTGGCCCGCCTCTCTCCTTAGCTCCGGCGTCCAGAGACATAAAGGACTCCACCTTAGGCGCGGTTCGCGTCTTTCCCGTCGTGCCCCGCGTGGACCCTAAACAGGAAGTGAGGTAGGAGCACTCCTGGGCGGAAGCTGGCGGTATGGCGGAGTACGAGCAGGTACAGAAGAGCGCTCTGAAGCTTAAAGGGGTGTCGGAACTGGGCGTAACGAAGCGGTAAGTGCGACGGCAGCGTCCGGGCTGCAGGGCATACGGGGGCGGTAGGGCGGGAGGCAGGGTTCGAGACCTAGAGCTAGCCCTCACCTGGTGCCGAGGAAGGTCTCGCCTATCCGTCCGTCCAACAGTCCGTCTGTCTGTCTGTTCTCCCAGGAAGAAGAGGAAGGATAAGGACAAGAGCAAGGTTCTGGAGCAGATCGTGACGAGCAAGAAGAACGAGGAGGAGAAGCGGAGGGGGCTGGACAAGCGGACGCCGGCGCAGATGGCCTACGAGAAGATGCAGGAGAAGAGGGTGAGCGATGGAGGCATTTTGTCCTAGGTAGTTTACAGTATTCTGAGGAGGGAGCCATGGGCTTCCCAGACTGCCCGGGCGGCCTTGACATAAGCAAGGTTGAGAACCTTTGACAGCAGCTGCAAACCGAGGGAGGGAGGGGATCGCCTTTCTGCCCGAGTCCCACTCCGTTTGGGGTCTTTGTTCAGTTCTGAGTGCCACGGTTTATGAAAGACATTGGTAAGCCAGGGGAGAGTGACCAGGATCCTGAAGGGACTGGAGATCGTGGAGAAACGTTGAAGGAACCCACGGTGTTTTTAACCTAGAGAACAGAATACTGGGGGGGAAGGGGGGGGTATGGGGAAGAAGAGGAAGTGTTACATTCTAGCTGCAGTTAGGTGTCTGAAAGGTGGTCATGTGGAAGAGAAATTTTATATGTTCTGCCTGCCTTTGAAGGCAGAAATACAAGCAGAGGAGGCCGATAGGGGCAGTGAGTGACTGAGAGGCAGAGTTAGGCCTAACTTGTAAGGAAATACGTGGTTCAGATTCTACCTCTGACATGAGCCGTGAACAGTTTCCTCATCTGTAAAATGGGGTCATGACTATATAACTATATACTCACAACTGTAATAAAAATTAACCGTCTCTCATTTTGCTCAGTTATAACATGAGAAGGTTCAACCAGATGGTCTCTAATCCTTCACAGAACATTTATTTTAAAAACACCTGATGTGTGCAAAGCACTATGCTCTCTGCTGGGGAAATAGAAAGTTTACATGAGACAGGAGTCCATGCCTAGGAGGGTCTGATTGGTTTTTTTACCTTGATGTCATAGATGAAGAAGGTATAGAGATTGATCACCTTCCATAAGGCATGGAAGCTTTCAACATGTAAGGTTCCAGATACAAAAGGTTCTAGGAAGAGGTAGGAGACTAGGACGTCTGGGAAGGACTATGCAGAGCAGAGGTGGCCTAGAGTCAAAGTTTTTTGGACTACCACAGTAGGCAATATAGAACCATGAAAATATTCAAGCAGAGAACATTGAGTATTTAATGGTTCACTAAGGTTTGCAAAGCGCTTTAGCTATAGTATATCATTTGATCCTCAACAACCCTACAAAGTAGGTCCAGTTATTAACCCCTTTTTGTAGATAAGGAGATTGAGGCTGAGAGAGGTCTAGTGATTTATCTAGAATCACAATAGCTGATAACTGTCTGAGGCAGAAATTAAAGTCCAGACTTTTCTGACTCCCAAGTCCAGTGCTTTCTCCACTGTGCCACCTAATGCAGACAAAAATCTTTGTATGAGAAAGATTTATCTAGCCATGTTTGAAGGACATATTTTGGAAGCCAAAGCTGTAGTCATGGGGCGGGGGGCGGGGAACAGACAGGCTATACTGTGTAACTAATTCCATGAGCCATTTTGGACAAGTCACCTTCTCTAGGCTTCGGTTACCTCATCTGGAGTTAAGTGAGTGCAACTAGATGATCTGTGAGGTCTTTTCTACATGTGATGTTCTTTAAGAAGAGAGAGGGTGTGGAGCAGTTTGTTGACAACAATGGGAGTTTCTCAGAATGTGGAGAGTGGTGGTGGAATAGGTAGGGGTGAAGTTGAGAGGCATAGGAAGGGAAGTGTCATTGTGCTTGATAATTTTATCCCCTGCCCAGTATTGTTCAGAAACCACTTGTTTAATATATTATAACTACAGTGTTTAAAAATCCTTCAAACCCCTGCTGTAACATTCTTCTGGCAGTTGTCAGCAGCGCATTAAATTATCTAACTGTGGAACTAGCTGCCCTCTATAACATTTCAAGAAACCACTCAAAATGTTACAGAGGGCAATTAGTTCCACGAGAGCTATACCCCCCCTGCTCTTAGTGGGCCCAGTTGGTGGTTAGGATGTGGGAATTTATAACCTTTCTTTCTTTCTTTTTTTTTTTCCTTTAAGCAAATGGAAAGAATCTTAAAGAAGGCATCCAAAACTCATAAGCAAAGGGTGGAGGTAAGAATTACCAAGCAATAAAATACTATGACCGAACCGCTAAGTTTTAGCAAGCATTCTGAGTCCTGTATGTTGTATCACCTTCAGTGGTGAGTAGGGCAGGAAGTAGTGGTAGAAGGCCGGAGAATTTGAGAAGAAGCATTTATCTTTGATTTTGTTGTAACTTGATTAGGTGAGAATTCTTGGAAACCAGCACTTTATAAATGCTCACCAAATATGTAAATATGAGGGAGATAGGAAATGGGGAAAAGGATTTCCAGGGAGGTATAATTGATAATAGAAGTTCACCTTTATAAAATGCTTTGGGGTTTATTTACAAAAGCACTTTGGCCACAATAGCCAGGTGTGGCAGATATTGCAAGTACTTATTTCTATTTCACTGAGTAGAAAAGAGACTTATTCAGGGTGACACAGTAAGGTCCAGGTTTAGGATTTGAACCTGTTTTCTGACTCCAAAGCCCATGTTCTTTCCATTTTGCCACTGCCCCTTTGTGGATTTGTCTTAGCAAAAGGGAAGAGCTTCTAGCCTACGTTAGAATGGGGATCGGAGGGCAGAATGTATTAATTGGAAAAGAGGACACTTTGGGAAGTAGCAGCCGAGATAGGGAATTTGTATAACTTTTCTGGTCTTGTGCTGAAGCACTTTCTTTTCTTCCTCCCCTCTAGGACTTCAACAGACATTTAGATACTCTTACTGAACATTATGATATCCCCAAAGTCAGCTGGACAAAATAGACTCCTACAATGTTCAGTGGTGTGGCCCCGAGGAAGAGGACTCATTTGTGTTTGTTCTGGATAACTGTGGCATGTTCTGTAAATGCTCCCCCCCCCCTTTTTTTTGGATGCTTCCGGCTAAGACTATTTTTAAAGGCTCTGTAATCAAGTTAGTAACTTGTCACACTTTATTAAAGTGGGACTCATGGTTATTTAGGTATCCTTGTGACACATAACACTTCTAATCTTTCAGGTTGAAAAAATTCTATTATTTATACAAAGTCATTGAAACTTACTTACTAATAAGAGTGTCCAACTAGGAAAGTGTGATAATTCATCTTCTGAGCTAATAGTTACTTTTATTAACTGTCTATAGGAAAAACCTTGCTTCGCCAGTACCAGCAGACTCTGAGGTGCTAATTATAGCCACTTGATCATTTCATTACTCTCCTACTTGAAGATAATAAAGCTATTTCAGTGTTTAAAGGATAACTTCATGATAGAGGATCTCCTTCCACCCAGTCTTTGCTATGGTGATCACTTGGTGACTGACCTTCTAGTGATGAAGCTGCCTGCTTATCAAAACTGGGTGGACGTCAGATAAGCTCATAGGCAATCACTGGGGCTTTTATTCAAAGCCTTGCCAGTTTGGTAGAATCTGCCAGAGTTTGTGCTCCAGGGCCATAGCCTTTCAGAGCCCAGAGTTGCATCCTCATCTTGATAAGGACATCAGAGAAGCAGGGCTGCTCTTAACTTGCTGTACTTTGCATATTATCTGCTACTTAGTTTGTGTCAACTTGGGCAAGTCATTTAACGTCAGTTTCCTGACCTGTAAAATGAGAAGGTAAGACTCAGTGACATCTAAGGTACTTTCCAGCTTGAAATCTGATCGTATGACTTGAAGGAAAATAGATGAAGAGTGTTTTAGGGCTGGGCTCCACACACTGCCAGAGAGAAGTTCTGGGTTGGCCTGCTACTGCTTTCTGGCGTTGTTCCAAGATCTCAGGCTGGGAACATGTAAGCCTTCAGTGCTCCCAGAGTGTTCACATACAGTACAGTGTCTGATTGTTGCACCCTGGACTGACTGGACTCAGCCACTGTCAGCCTCTGGGAAGTTCTGCAGTTTCAAAATGACAGCACTGTAGGCTCCCTTTTGGTCTGGGATTTGTGCTCTGGTTTTTCCTCTGCAGGCTTCAGAGTGGGCTAAAAGCTGGAACTGAGATCCTGCTCTGCTTGAGATCTGAGCCACACTGCAGCTGCTGCTTCTGACAGGACCTTATTCCTTGACACAACCCAGTACCAGAGACCACTCAGCCACTCCCTACCCTGGAAAACCACGCTGAACATAATTCCCCTCCTCATTCTGACCTGGATCTGTGACCTGAAAGCAGGAAGTGGGTGACAAAGCTGCCAGTTGGTACCTGTTCCCAAAACTCTGCATCTGGTGCCCCCTGTGGATTCACAGCCCCTCCTTGGGTACTAAAATCCTCACCCCACCTGGCCATACCCTGTCCCCAGTGTCCCTCTTAGTCTGTCTCATTCACTGTGACTTTTTTATTTCCCCATCAGGATTCAGTCTGGTGCATTTTCTGCATCTGTTTGGAGGAGTTTGGGACCTTACCATATTCATTCCTGCTACCCTGCCATCTTGGCCTTACCTCCTTTTACACCACCATTTAACTTCACAACACACATGTACATGCACACTGTGATTCCCTTCCCCACACATGCCATAGTATCTGCTCCCACCCCCCTCCCCCCCCCAAAAAAAAGGCAGTTAAGCCAAATTTTTTGATACTGTGGCTAAGAGAACCAGTCCACATTGGTTGTTAACCATTTCTTAACAAAGAACATGGACTTGTGTTTTAACTTGAGCTATCCAGAACAACAATGTCCATTATATTTAATCTGAGTTTTCTTGTCTTCTTTTGGTGATGTCTTCATTTACATTATTGCCTTCGTGTATATTCCACATGCATGTCAGTTCTATGTCAGTTAACACAGGTTTTTCCATGTTTCTCAAAATTCCTCATGTTCTTCATTCTTCATTCCTTATGGTACAATAAGGAAATGAGTGAGGAATGTAAATTACAGTCTTATACCACAATTTTGTTCAATCATTCCACATTCCAGAGATAGCTTTCTTTCCAACTTTTTGCTGTTATTAAAAAGTGTTTCTGTAAATGCTTTTGTATGTATAGGAACAAATTTCTAGAAACTAGAGGGGGTGGGAGAACCTGTGGCCTTGAGGCTGCAGGTTCCCCTACCTCTGCTAGGGTCTCTTCTTACTGATTGGTGGGAGAAGGAGGGCGAACAATCTCAGATCTAGTGGTGAAAGGACTTTAGGGTTCATTTAATCCAACCCTCTTCTGAGGAAGCTGAAGTCCAGAGAGAGGTTATATGACTTCCCAGTGACACAGATGATAAAATGTTAAAGGTTTGATTTGAACCCAGGTTCTCTGACCAGAGTCAGAGTTCTTTCCACTATATCACAATGCCTCCCCACATTAAGTATATGCCTGGATCAAAGGGTATGAATAATTTGATTTCCCCCACCATTCCAAATTTGCTGTCTCTGTCTGTCTCTCACCCCCCCCTTCTCCCCCTCTCCCTCCCTCCCTTCTCTCCCTCTCCCTACTTCCCCATTGTGCATATAAAGTCATGCAAAACATTTCCACATTAGCCATGTGGGAAGAAAAAATATGCTTCAGTCTGCATTCAGAGTCCATCAGTTTTCTGTAAGTAGATAGCATTTTTCATCACGAATCTTTGGAAACTGTCATGGATCATTGTATTTATTGGTTAGTTTTCACAATTGATCATCATTATAATGTTGCTGTTACTATGTACAATGATGTAGTTCTGCTTACTTCACTCTGCATCAATTCACATAGGTCTTCCTGGGTTTTTCTGAAACCATCCCCCTTATCATCTCATAGCATAATAGTATGCCATCTCAGTCATATACTGTACCATAACTTGTTCAGCCATCCCCCATTTGATGGCCATCCTGGCAGTTTCCAATTCTTTGCCACCACAAAAAGCTGCTGTAAGTACTTTTGTATACATGCGTCATTTTTTTTTTTTTTTTTGATCTCTGAGATACAAACCTAGTAGTGATATTGCTAGATCAAAGGGTATGCACAGTTTGATTAACTCATTGAGCATCGTTCCAAATTGTTGTTCAGAATGCTTGGACCAGTTCATATCTTTACCAATGGAGCATTCATGTCCCTATTTTTCCTCATGCCCTCCAGCACTTGTCATTTTCCTTTTCTACTAGCCAATCTAGTAGGTATGAAGTGGTGTACCTCAGAGTTGTTTTAATTTGTATTTCTCTAATCATTAGTGATTTAGGACATTTTTCTCTTTTTCCATTTTTTTAAATTTGTAGAATAAAACAAGCATATATAACAAAGTTTCTTTTTTCCTTTTTTTCTTCACTTCCCTAGAAATGGCTATCATAAGACACATAAAATTATTCAGTATATCTATTGAGCAATTCTTTGAATGCAAATAGCATCTTTCTTCATGTGTCTTTTATAATTAGTTTGGGTATTTATAATCAAAGTAATTTGCTCTCCCAGTTTGCTTATGATATCGCCCTTTATATCTAAATCATGTACACATTCGGAGGTTATCTTGGTATTCAGTGTGAGATGTTGTTCTATGTCTTGTTTCTGCCAGATGGCTTTCCAGGTTTTCCCCGAATTTTTTATCAAACTGTGAGTTCTTATTCCAATAGCTGGGCTCTTTGGGTTTATCAGACACTAGGTTACTGTGGTTATCAGTTTCACTTTTTTTTTTTTGCGTTGTTCAAAATTGTTTTCCACAAAGATTGAATAAGTTTAATTTCATCAGTGCATTAGCGAACAGCCCTTCCTACATTGACTGCTTCTGACATTTTACCATCTTAGCCAGTTTGGTGGGTGTGAGATAATACCTCAGAGATTTTAATTTGCATATTTTTCATTTTATTTCATTAGAAAGTGACTCAAAATGTTACTTGTGTCTTGGAACATTTCTTATGTGGTTGTTAATGATTTGCATTTCTTTTGAAAATTATAGCCTTTAACCACATGTCTTTTGGATTATATATTTGAGTCAGTTCCATGTACATTTTGTACTTTTTTTTTCATGTACATTTTGGATGTCAGGTTTTTATCAGAAATCTCTGATACAAAGATTTTTTTCCTCTAATCCATAGCCTCTTAGATTAAGCAGCACCGATTTTGTGGGGCAAAAGCTTTATAGTTTGACACAATCAAAATTGTCTTTTGTAATCTCTATCCCTTAAGAAGCAGCATGACAGCAGAAAAAAAGTGTGGCTCTAGCTTCAAAGTCCGGTTTTACGATTTTACCCATGTGGCCTTGGACAGGTCACTCCACCACTTTGGGCCTCAAGTGACCTCTTTTGAAAAATATAGAGGCTGTCTTAGACGACTCCTGCAGTCCCTGCCAGGGACTAAATTTTATGACGGTGACCCTTGTGTGGTTATGAATTCTGTCCCTAACCTGTTGAAAAGGTAGGTTGAAAGATACAACCTTACAGTCACCTCTAATTTTTTTGTGATATGATTTTTTTTTTTTAGGCAGTTGGGGTTAAGTGACTTGCCCAGGGTCACACAGCTAGTAAGTGTCACATGTTTGGCCTGAGGTCAGATTTGAACTTGGGTCCTCCCAACTTCAGGGCCCCGGCTCTATCCACTGCACCACCTAGCTGCCCCTGATATGATTTTTTATATTTTAAAACATTTACCCATTTAAAGAAATTTATGGCATAAGTGAGGGGCTTGGTGTATTTGTTATTTATTTCTTAGATTGACCTATTACTCCATTTCCTATGTTCTGCAGTCCAGCCAAACTGGCCACCATGCTGTTCTCCCCCACATTACAGCCCCTCCATCATCTCCATTCGTTGGCACTGGCTATTTCCCATGCTGCACCAGTGTCTCCTATGATCTTGTTCCCTTCAAAATTGTTGAAATCATACTTTCCAAATGAAGCCTTTACAAATTCTGAATCCTGCCCCAGATACTAGGAACTTAATCTAAAACAAAAATTACATGATATCTATTTTGTACATATATTTAATTAATATTCCATGTAGTTTTCCCCATAGAATGTAAGCTCCTTAAGGGCCGGGGCTGCTTCATGTTTGTCTCTGTCCCTGGCATCTAGCTTAGTGCTTTTAATAAATGCTTGTTGGCTGACTGATTGTAGTCAGGGTATAGATGATTTTCCTGGTTCTGCTTGCTTCCTTCTGCACAACTTCATACAAATATTCCCATGTTTCTCTGAATTCTGCATCATTTCTTACAATACAATAATCCATTAAACTCATGACCTACAATTTCTTTAGCCATTCAATCACAACACATTTGTTAAGCACCTGCTATGCACTAGGCACAAGATAAAACAAGAATCCCTGCCCTCTGCTTCTAATTCTGTCGGAGAGATAACATGTACATGCAGAAGTATACATAAAAAGGTAATTTCTGAGGGGAAGAGACTGGCAGCTGCCGGGATCAGGAAAGGTTTCATGTAGAAAATGACCCTTGAACTGAATTCTGAAGGAAATAAGGGATTGAGAAACCAAAGTGAGACTACGCAATCCCAGTGTGGAGGTAAACTGGTGAAAAGGGAAGGGGGAGAGGGAACAAACATTTATTAAGTGTCTACTATGTACCAGGCACTTGGTAAGCACTTTCATCAAATGTTTGATTCTCAACAACAGCTCTGGGAGGTAGGTGTGATTATTACCCTTATTTTACAGTTGAGGAAACTGAGGCAGATTTCATGTCTTACGCAAGATCATAACAGCTTATAAGTTTCTGAAGCTGCATTTGAACTTAGGCTGCAACACTGTCTCCATCGTGCCACCTGGCAGCCTCTTCAGGCATTCCCCAGTGGATGTCTATTTTGTTTCTAATTCTCTACTACCACAAAGAAATTGTGCTATGAGTAGTCTGGTATATGTGGGATCTAAGGTCGCTTCTGCTACTGGAGATGATGGTGGTGGCCCTGGGCAAGAACCCTCTCAGGCCCAAGGATGCAAAGCCTGGTAATATATCTCCTGCCTTATGGCCTCAGGGCATGGGTGAGGAATGAGGCGACATTTAAGATAATGATGACTGGTTATCTGAGACCAGAGAAGACTGACCTGGTGAAGGAAGGAAAAACAACAGCCTGGGATAAAGGTAAGGGCCTTGTACTAAAGTGTGTTTATTTGAATTGAAATATGGGTGATAGTTGCTGCTAAAGATGATGGGGTTTACCCTGCTGTAGAGCAGGAGTCATGCATTTCCTGGCAGTCTGGTGAAGCCTATGGACCCCTTCTCAGTCATAATTTTATCCAAGTGTGGTTCCATAGGCCTGTCCTCCATGCTACTGGGGAGGCCTAGGCTGGTGTATTTCTTGAACTCGGGAGTTCTGAGCTTGCAGTGGGGCTGAAGTTTTTTGGGGTTTTTGTTTTTTGTTTTTTTGGTGAGGCAATTGGGGTTAAGTGACTTGCCCAGAGTCACATAGCTAGTGAGTGTTATGTGTCTGAGGCGGAATTTGAACTCAGGTCCTCCTGACTCCAATGCTGGTGCTTTATCCACTGCGCCACCTAGCTGCCCCAGGGCTAAAGTTAATCAAGGTATTTGCACCACGTTCAGCACCAACATGATGAGTCCCAGGGAGTAAGGGAGGGGAGGAGGATGAGGAAAGACACCAAGCTGTCTAAAAAGAGGGTGACCTGGCCCTGCTGGTCAAGCCTGGGCAGGACAGGAGACCCAGTCCCAACAATAAAATAAAAATGTTCTTAAATGCATACAATAAAACATGTACAATTACAAAAGAAACATTGAAATCAAAATAATTTTCTTTTACAGGCCCCTTAAAACTATCCATGGATCCCATATTA